GGCCAATAATATCCTTGTCGAAGCGTTTTGAACGCAAGGGTAGTCGCCCCTTGGTGGTTGCCACAAATTCCCGCATGTACTTCGATTAGCACCTCCTGTGCTTCTGTCGGTCGCAAACACTTCAAATATGGCATTGTGAAGCCTCGCTTGTAGAGTTGCCCATCGATGATGGCAAACGAGGCTGCCCGAACTTTTAGCCTTTTGGCCGTGAGAGCATCCTCCGGCAATTTATTCTTTGTGAGATACTCAAACAGTGGGTCTATCCAACTTTCCTCATTTTCCACATTCATAACATCGATTACATGTTGGATGCTAGGTTGTCGCAGAATTTGCACACTGGCTGTGCGAGGCAGTCGTCTGGGGTTGGCTGATGCGAGCTTAGCCAGCGCGTCCGCTCGCTCATTGTCCTTTCGAGGGATCTTAGTTATCTTAAACTTAGTGAACCCCCTCTGCAAGTTTTTGACCTCCATTAAATATGCAGCCATCTTTCCGTCCTTTGCTTCGAATTCCCCCGTCACTTGCCCGATTATCAACTGAGAGTCACTGCAAACTTCCACTGAGGTGACCCCGAGTCTGGCTGCCAATCCCAAACCCGTGATTACCGCTTCGTACTCGGCCTCGTTATTTGTTGCTGGGAATTCAAAGTGCAGTGAGTATTCCAACTCTTCTTCATTCGGACCTATCATTATGATCCCCGCCCTGGATCCTTCGTCATTTGAAGATCCATCGACAAAAATTTTCCAATCTGCCTGCTCCCCTGGTGGGAGCTCGGGCGGGGTGGTGAGCTCAACGATGAAGTCTGCTAAAGCCTGTGCCTTAATAGCTGTCCTTGGCCTGAATTCGATATCAAACTCGCTTAACTCAATGGCCCATTTTAACAGCCTCCCAGAGGTCTCGGGCCGATGTAGAATCTGCTTGATAGGTTGGTCAGTCATTACTTGCACCGTGTGAGACTGAAAGTAAGGCCTCAATTTCCTGACTGCGACAATTAATGCAAACACCAGTTGTTCAGTCAGGCTGTATCTTATTTCTGCACCCCCCAATACTTGGCTCACATAGTAGACTGGTTTCTGCGCCTTCGAGAACTCTTTCACCAGGACCGCGCTGACTGCCTTTGGTGATACTGCCAAGTAGAGACACAACACGTCCCCAGGAGATGGGCTGGTCAAGACCGGGGGCTCTTGTAATGACTGCTTCAAGTTCCTAAGAGACTCTTCGCATTCCTGGGTCCACTCAAAATTGGAGGAGCCCCCTATGGCTTTGAAGAAGTGGTAGCATTTGTCCGCCGCCCGGCTCATGAAACGATTTAAGGCCGCTACCCGCCCCGTCAGCCTCTGAACTATCTTCCTGCTGGTGGGGCTTTTCATTTCTAGGATTGCCCGAATTTTGTCCGGGTTCACTTCGATGCCCCTTTGCGTGATCATGAAACCTAGAAATTTTCCACCTGCGGTACCAAAAACACACTTCTCTGGATTGAACCTTAATCTGCTTTGTCGGGCAACGTCAAACACTTTTTGCAAATAGGCCACATGGTCATTGGCTCTGGCACTCTTGACCACCATATCGTCAACATAGACTTCTACGACATCCCCTATTAGCCCACGAAAGACTTTGTTCACCATCCTCTGATACGTCACTCCTGCGTTTTTCAAGCCAAATGGCATGGCTGTGTAACAGTACGTGCCGAAGTCCGTGATAAATGACGTCTTCTCTTGATCAGCCTCGGCCATTGAAATTTGATGATACCCCGAAAACGCATCTAGAAAGCTGAGCCTTTCATGACCCGACGTTGCGTCCACCAGTTGATCTATTCTGGGAAGTGGGTATGAGTCTTTTGGGCATACCTTGTTCAACCCAGTATAGTCTACACACATGCGCCATTTTCCATTTGACTTCTTCACAAGTACAACATTTGCCAACCACTCGGGGTATTGGACCTCTCGGATGAAACCCGCCTGTAGCAATTTTTCCACCTCTGCTCTGGCCGCAGCCTGCCTCTCAGGGGCAAGGTTTCTCTTTTTCTGCTTCACTGGCTTAGCCCCTGGCTGGACACCGAGGCGGTGCTGTGCGACAGTTGAGCTAATCCCCGGGATATCATTTGGGTTCCAGGCGAAGACATCCAAATTTTCGGCTAGACACTTCGCCAATTTTTCCTTCTCTTCGGATCCTAGACCTGTTCCAACAAGAAACTCCTTTCCTTCGTTAATAAAGATTTTTTCAATCATATCAAGTGGCTCGATCCGCTCCCTCGGGAGTTCTACATCCAGCATCATGACTGATGGTGGGCTTTTGGCTTGTATACTATCCACATAGCATTTTCTTGAGGCATGCTGGTCTCCTCGCACGCTCCCGATCCCCCTGCTGGTTGGGAACTTCATAATTTGCTGGTATGTCGATGGGACCGCGCCAGCTGCATTTAGCAATGGCCGGCCGTAGATAGCGTTGTAAGCCATGGGGGTCTTGACAACCAAGAAATTAGTCACGATCACCACTGTCGCTGGGTATGTCCCAACCGTGACTGAAAGCTCTACAGTCCCTTCCGGTATCACTGTTGCCCCTCCAAAGCCTTGTAGGGGGTAGTCACCACCTTCAACCTTTCTTGAGGGATTTTTAGACCCAAGAAGGCATCCCAGGTGAGGACATCTGCCGCACTCCCTCCATCGACTAAGACCCTCTTCACGTCAAAATCCGCAATATCGCCTACTATTACTAAGGCGTCATCATGGGGGTAGGTTACACCAATCAAGTCCTCTTCATTGAAAGTTATACTCTGGTTGAATCTTGCTTTTTTCTGTATAGAGCAGACCCTTAATGAGCGCGCATAACTCTTCCTAGCTGAATTTGAGTCGCCGCCCGATGCTACTCCTCCGATGATCATGTTTATCACTCCTGCTCTTGGTGGGGGCATTCCTTCGACCCTTTGCCTGCTCTTATCGTTTTTCACATACTTTGCCAATAGCCCCCATCTCAGCAGGCACTCAATTTCTTCCTTTAACTGTAGGCATTCTTCGGTATCATGCCCGTGATCTCTATGAAAATGGCAGTATTTACTTTGATTTCTCTTGCCCGAAGGGGTTAGCATTGGTTTGGGCCATTCGAGCTCCTTCATGTGCTGTATCTCCATCAATAACTTTGTTCGTGGAATGTTCAAAGGGGTGGGTGTCTTGACCTCCTCTCGTTTTTGCCTGACTGACCGGTCTTGGACATAACCCTTGCTCGTGCGTTCACTCTTCTGCTTATTTCTATCATTGTGCTTTTGCTCGTCATAGGTTTTTCGCTTATTAGCTTCCGTCTCCCTTCCATCCCTGAGATTTTTAGTTACCTTCTCCGCTTCCTCCGCATCGACATACTTGTCTCCCTTCTTTAACAGGTCATGCATCGACTCCGGGGGGTTCTTGGACAGTGACATCTTAAAGGCCCGATTTCGCGTTCCATTCATCAAGGCTGTAACCACTGCGGACATTTGCAGGTCTCTAAGGTCAAGAGTCGCCCGGCTGAACCTGGCTAAGTATTCCTGTAATGACTCGTCTTTGTCCTGTACAACCTGCATCAACCCAATGGCTGGCTTCCTCTTCCTCTTGCTGCTTAGGAAATAAGCCACAAAGCTCCTGGAGAGCTCATCAAATGACTTGATGGAGCGCGGGGCCAAGGTTGCTACCCAGTCCCTTACCTCCCTCCTGAGCGTGGGGGGAAAGGATCGGCACATCACGGCGTCCGGGGCGGCATAAAGTCTCATCAGATCCACGAAAGTTCGTAGATGGTCAAGCGGGTCCGTGACTCCATCATAGGCTTCAATCATGGGCTGTTTGAAGCCTTTAGGCAAAGGGACCGCCATGATTTCTGGGGCGAACGGGTCTTCCTCCAAAACCATCTGTCTCCGCCTATCCTTCCTTTTGGACAACGCATCGTCTATCTTCTGTGACATGATTTCTTCCATCTTTCGTTCCAGGTCCACCATGGTTTGCGGGGGCTGTTGAGCTCCGGTTATTGGGGCTCCCGCGTCTCCCGCTCCCCGCTGAGAGGTGGGTGAGACAACCGCAGGTGGCGCTTGAGGCGGTTGTTGATTCGTCACTTCCGTCGGGCTTAAATGAGGGATGGTGGTTCTCTGCGACTGGTCTTGTAAAAGCACCATCATTGCTGCCAATTGGTTTTCCAAAGCGCTGAATTGACTCTGTGTCACATACTGCGGGGGCGGTGGCGGTTCATGACCCCTTGCAACTGACTCCGACTCCGTCTCCGCCGTATTCCCAACCAGGCGAGTATCACTTCTTGTTCGTCTTCTTGACATGACTTTTTAGTTCAAACGGAAATTCCCACAGACGGCGCCAATGAAAGGCGGTGATTCAACACCCTTCTATTTACCCGGTAATGTTTGGCGTTTCCACCACTCCGTCAAGTATGCAAGACCTGAAAAATGAAGGCGGGGCTTTCTCCCCCGTTTTACCTCCGACGTGAGAATTAGTTTTCAGACTTGGAAAGAATATATTTGAAAATCAGATGGCTAAAAACGAGAATGGGAGCTAAAAAAAAACATCCCTTACCTGCGTCTCATCCGGGGTTATTTATAGATATTAGGCACTAGGTAACCGCTGGGCGGTTGTGATGCCACGTGTCCCACGATGATATTCCCATTACACCCACGTTCTGAGTGATGAGTCCTTAACTTCCCGTCTGAAGATTGTACCTGTATCAGCGGCCATGTAACCTTGTCGATTCGTTAAAGGTTTTATGGCTAAGTGTTTGGACAAAGGATATCATTCCCGTTGAAGATTTCGCTTAGTGGTAGAATGATTTCTTGGGGTAGCAATAGAGCGCTCCCTAGACGTAGTGGTAGAGCGCTCCCTAGATGTAGTGGTAGAGCGCTCCCTGGGTGTAGTGGTAGAACGCCCTATGAGGATCGATGGCCTTGCATCGGTGTGCTGTGATCTGCCTTGCTCGTCCTCGGGGGTGTCTCCTTCTACCAACCTATATCAGTGGGCTAATACATCTCATCTACGCCGACTATAATTATTTTGGTCAGTAAATATTTTGGTGCAATAATCCCCGCCAAAATTTGGTCCAAAAATAAGATTTTCACCTACCATTTTATATCTAGTCGACAATTGTATCTTGTCTATGCTGACTAAAAAATCTTTTGGTCGTTAAATATTATTTCTAGTAACTAATATTTGGTTGCTCGGGAAAAACTGGTCAGGGAAAGACTATTTTCATATCCCATTTCAATTGTGTCGGTAAAAAAAAAGGACGATAAATATATGACCAACCTAGAATTCTTAGTAGTCGGTAAAAGAGTATTTTCGCGGACTAATTTTTGGTTGGTTGGAAAATCTGTTCAGGAAAACTCTAGTTTCTTGTAGGGTGTGTTTGATAGGGTGGAATTGAAATTGGATTTCCAACTTTAGGTTTTTGATACATTTTTTTTCCATGGAATTCAAATTCTTGATTTTCGTGAACTTTGGAATTTTCTTGGTTTTCCCACGTACCGTAGCTTCTTCTTTTTTTCGTTTTTTCGTTTTTTGGTTTTTTCTAATGGAAACAAATTTTATTCTTAATTGTTAAAAAAATATTTTCTTTTAATTAACAATTTCATGTAAAATAAAGCCAAACGAACACCAAAAGATAGATGATTTTCTTGATTTTTTTTGTTCGTAATGGAAACAAATTTCATACTCAATACCAGTAAATTTTATCACTTTAATTGACAATTTTTATGTAAAACAAAGTCAGGCGAACAACAAAATACACTTTTATTTCAACATTTACCAAGTGAAAAATTATACCAATCAAACATAATAATTTACAATTTTTAGGAAAAGAATTATGGTCTGTTTGATTGAAAAGATGGAATTTGGGTGGAAAGAAAATGAATTTTAGGGAATTAAATTGCCTAGAAATTGTTTTACTGAGAATTGTCAATTGATAGTGTTTGATTGATATAATTTTCTAAGTGAAAAATGTTGAAATGAAAATATCTTTTGGTATTCGTTTGGCTTTATTTTTCATGAAAATTGTCAATTTAAGGAATATCCACTTCTACCATTATTCTTAGAATTTGTTTCCATTGCAAAAAAAAAAAAAAAAAAAAAAAAAAAAAAAAAAAAAAAAAGATCCAAAAATTATCTATATTTTGGTGTTCGTTTGACTTTGTTTTATATGAAAATTGTTAATTTAAGTGCTATCCTCTTTTACAATTGTTCCTAAAATTTGTTCACATTGTCAACAATTAAAAAAAACAAAAAAAAGGTGGAATTCCAAAAACCACCTACCCCATGGGAAAATAAAAAGTTGAATTTCATGTTTTACCTGCTTGTACCTAGAAAATCATGGAAAATCAATTTCCTGGGAAATTTTGTTAATCAAACAGGACAAAAGTGAAAATTGGAATTCGAATTCCAAGGTCCATGAAAAATATAGTGTAATCAAACAGAGCCTTATAGGCAATTCAATTTTCTAGAATTCGTTTTCTAGGCAATTCAATTCCATCTTTGCAATCAAACGGACCTGTAATGGTCTTGATCTACTATTAAACGTGAAACGGTCCATATGATGGTTTCCACTTTCTCTGTCTTTGGCCTAAAAAGTTGGGACCCATACTTTTTCTTGATTGGTCGAGTCTACGGCTTCCCAATCATACGGATCAGTAGTAAGCATACTTTACATGATATTAAGAATGATAGTGAGTGCCCCCCAAGGCACTTCTCCACTGGAAAAGGACGGGCTCTGTCAAACTTGGCAGATCAGAGGTCTTAAATCCTTTCATGGGACTCTTGGAAAGCAAGGAATTATTCTTGGAAGGTAAGAGAAATCTTGGAAGGCAATGATTATTCTTGGAAGGCAAGGTGCAATTTGAATTGGATTGCTTGGCACTTTGGCAGACCAGGTGGGGAGGGCTCGGACCCTGACTAGTTGGAGGCACATCTCTCGATTAATTGGACTGTGTGAGGAGGGGCCGGATCACAGACCGAAGGATTAGTCAAGAATTGGACACCTTGTAAAAAAAAAAAAAATGAGAATGATAGTGAGCATCATATTCAAATAGCGAATGGCTATGTTCTTTATTATATTACTGTTATTTGAAATCTAATTTCTACTTTCAACAATGTATTGAGTCACCAGATTGGTAGATAATAATTTTGAAATTCACTATGATTGCAATGTTTACATTGTTGTTTCTAATAATAGTGATGTTTGGTATAAAAAGTTAGGATATCCCAAAGGAAATGAAGATCAGACGATGGAAGAGCCACTTCTATTCTTTTGACACACCTAATAAAACATGTGGGGTGTGAGCCCCATCCTTTCCCATGCTCGATATAAGTATTTTGTTACGTTTATTGATTACTGTAGCACTTCACTTGGGTATATTTTTCCAAAATCTCCTCTTTTCTCCTTTATGTGCCCTTATTCTTAACCTCCAAATGAAAGAAGAATGAACAGAAAAGAGAAGGGAACG